CTCGAACTCAAGACTCTAACGCGTCTAGCAACCGCTTCTTCGTCAATACGAACGCGCTATCCTCGATCTGGCTTTGCAAAGAAATGGCCCGAGCTTTCCACCGTTTAAGAAAACTATACACCTCCGCCGATCGTTTAGCGTCTGTTAGTTTAATATGTTTTACCTTGTTCGCGTTCCGAAGCTTCTCCTCGTTAAAGGCGAGCCACTCGTCCGTCTCGATCTGCCGTTTCGAATTTAAGACTTTGGCCTCGTCTATCTTGTCGGTCTTCCGAGCGTCGAGCGCGTCGTCGCGAATCGATATCAACTTCTTTATCTGTCCATCGACGATCGATTGCTGTTCCCCATCGGATATCTTCTTCTCCTCCGCGTTCAAGTAAACGGTGGAACTCTTACGTTTCGATTTACCTCGTGGCTCGACGAAAGATCTGTATTCTCTATTCGCGAAAAACTCTTTGCCTTCTTCGGAGACCGCACTTTCGTCCGACGAGTATTCCTCTTCGCTTTTGCTATCGTCGTCTTCGAGCTTTCCCGATTTTCGAAAGTAATTGGGAAGCGGTTGTTTCGATTTTTCGTCATCCTGGACGCGACTCCCCTCGGCATTCGATATCTCCGATTCTTTAGGCTCGATCGCTTTTACGGAGCCTTTGTACTCTTCGTTGCCGTGGCGCGCGTCGAACGGGCCAGGCGCAACACCATCGGCGTCCACTTGCGAATCGAATCTCCTGATTCCCTCGTCCGTAGCTTCTCCGATCTGTCCAACCGGAATTCCTTCGCTCTCTCGAACCTCGGATTTACCGACCAAAGCAACGTCGTTCCTTCTACGCTTTTTCACCACACCAGCTTCCTCGTCTTCCTGTTTCAACACCTCGCTGCTACCCTCGTCACTCGCTCCAACCACGTCCACCGCCTTCTTCGTCTTCCGATTCTCCCTTTTCTTCCTCGACTCTCCTTCGGACACTGCGAAATCATCATGTCCCTGACCACCGCATTTTATGATCAGCGATTCGAAAATGTCTTCGATGTCCTCCTTCGATTCTTGCGACTTGGCCTCGTTGATCTCCGTCAAATTTATTCCACCAAAGTCGTCTTTCTTTGCGCCCGGCGAAAGTTTGGCAACTGGTCGAGCCTGGTTCTGTTCATCGTGCGATACACTGCGTGGTTGGCCAACGCGGAGAACGAACAGTAGAAGCAGCAGACAGAGGAAAGATCGAGGGAAGAGATGGAAGGTCCTTGTTGGCTGTAGGCGTCGCGAGTCGAGTGCTCTCATGGTCGCGGTCGAGAGGCGAATGTCTCGGCCACTTGTGAGCCGGTCTATGGTCAACCATGGCGGAGGTATGGTAATACATATAGCGTCGTCCGGGACGCAGCGGAGGAAGATGCTCGTGAGAGTGTACGTACAGGCTCAACCAACGAGACGCGGGCATTCACGAGACTGTGTGAATAGGCAACAAGCCGGGAATTTCCATTTTTATGCTGCCCCTCTACGAGCGAATCGAGTTCGCGGTCTAACGGGTGTAGATGCATTTACCTTTACGTTTCTTACCGATTCCATCGGCAGCGAAGGAGATTCGCAGAATCATTCCATTAAACGACTCTACCGGCGTGCTCCTTCGCGAGCAGAACATTTTCAGGGTTTGAAGGAACTGCGCGCGTTTTGTGCAACGTTTTCTAGCCAATAGATAGAATCCTATCATGAATGGTCGTTAAAAACTCTATCGTACGGATAATATCGCTTCTCTTTTATGGCTCGACGTCCAGCGTGGCTGAAGCAACGAGTCGCTTATACCGGTCGCCGACCGCTAATGTGTCCAGCTCTGTTTCTTCTTGCGGCCGAACGGTAATGAGCCATTCAACCTTGAGGCAGTGGTGCTTGGAAAATAACGCCAAAGCCTCTTACGATTCTACTCTCCACTACTCGTCCCTCGTTTCCTAGCATTTCCGCCATTTCTGTTGGACTAACAGAATCGTGGATCGACGCGAGTCAAACGGAGAAAAGATAGTCGGCTAGACTCCGCGCAGAACAGCCAGGAACGGAATTCGGATCGACCCGCGACTATCGACACGGAGAATCCAGATTCTCCTGCGAAATATCGAAATCTGATATTTCGTCCTTGTTTTTCCGAACGATAAGACCGTACTTTCGATGGGAAAGGGAAATTAAGCGACAGTCGGCTTATCGGACGAGCTGACCTCGAAAAAACTTGCTTCTTGGAAGCGAAGAACGTTCTACGCCGGTAAAAAAAAAGTCATTTATCAGTTTCTTTTATCCTTATCGTATTCTTAAAATACCCGTAGCGAGGCTGGCTTTTAAAAGCTCGCCGCGATCGAGCACAACGTTCGAGCGGGCAAACGTTGCGAGAGAGGGGAGCAAAAAGACGGCGAGGGAAGAAGAAGTCGCGGCGAAGAGACCGGAGGATACAGCTCGAATACGGTCGAAGCCGGGTTTCAAGTACATCTTTAATACGGCCTTTCTGGTTCTGGTGCAAGGGGTTGGATTTTTAGTCCTTGAGCGCGAATCGAGTCTAGAAGGGACGGCAGGGAGAAAGAGGAGTACCCGGCAACAGGATACGGCAGGGTAAAGAATTTTTACGACGCGCATTATTTTCCAACATGGCCTCCACTGTTTCCTTCTTCGACTTACGCTTCTCTCTTTCCTTCCATAAAGAATTCGGATTCACCTCGCCATGCCGATGCAGTAAACCTGTACCGCTTTTCTTCCTTTTATCCGTCCAATGCCACCTTCGTTCTTAAGGTGTATTCACAACCGCGTCGACTCTGATTTTACTAGCAATAACCGCGTCCGCCTCGCCGCCGCAAATCCATATCATGCAAATCGCTGCTTTCGCTCCTTTACTTTTACCATTTTCTCCGCGGAATGTTTCACGCTTCCCAGCTCCACGTTATGTCATCCGATTATTCGCGAGATTTTACGTCGACGCGTAACGCGTAATACGTCTACCGGGTTGCCAATAAATTTCTCCCTGGTTAACTACCTTTAGAATCGCCCTCTTTTTTCATTAGAAACTTCTTCTCGCTTTAAGCAATTACGATCTTCCTCTCGATCTACCGATCACCGCTTTCTCCGGTTCTTTCTATGTGTCGTCCAAACGCGTGAAAACTAAAATGCATCGTTGCGCCGTACTGCGTCAGCATCGATCGAATAATCGAATCGACGCACCATGCGCTGGGTCTATCTCGATCCGTATTTTCGGACTGTCCTAGACTTGAGGTATCGGAGATACTCGGATGCCTGCAAGATGTGTGCGCAAAGCAAACGTTACTTGATCTCGTATTTAATTTTACGAGTAAAGAACAGCTTCTATCTAGACGATAGAAAAAAGATGCGTATGGATCGATATCGACCCATCGAAGCTTCCACAGGACCATCCGGATCCATTTGTACTCATTGGTTGCTTCGTTGGGAACGTTATTATAGATTGTAATTTCTTCGAAATTGCAGACCACGTTTATTACCTTCTTCGCTGCGGAAACAGCTGCTCGACTGCGTTAAATTAGCAGGGCCGTGAAAGCCATTGAAAACGTAATGGACAAAGACGTTCTATAGTTACCGCCTCCTTCGTTTCGTATTCCTTCGACGGTTTTAAGGAAAAGAGTCTTCTTCTCCACACTCGAACAATAATCAACGATGGATGAACGCGTATGGTGTGGCTGACGCGACGATCCTCGGCTATGGGATTCCACGGTCGAGCAGTTCCATGCGAGGCGAGCAATGTACGGATGATCGCGGGACAGCGACCATGAAAGTGGGACATGATGTACGTTGGACGCAGGAAAGATTCCGAACGACTCGCGAAGGGACTGCCAGCTTTGACCCTGGAATGCCGCGATCCTACGTTTTGTCCCAATCGATCGATTCAATTTTCTTTTTCGAAACGGAAATGTTCTTCTTCCTGACGCGTCCTCTTTTCCAAAATCTTCCAACGATCATCGCGAGAAAGGAGAAGGGCGATACGGGATCGGTGGGTAGAAGCATGAAAAATTGCAGCCTGGTAAAAGCGACGAGGCTGTGATCGCGCTGGATACGCCGGCGAAGCTCGCGGCACGTTCTAACAGCGTTCTCCAAAAGTGTTTCAACGGCGGCGCGTCCACGAAATCGACAGTCGAGGAGGAAATTCGAGGTAGTGCGCAG